ATGGAAGAACCATGAACTAAGCTCTGTTTGAGGGCATGTTTACTTTTTTTTATTAAAGCCTATTCCAAACATGTCACTCTAATTTCCAGAATGTTTACATAGCAAAGACATTTTGGTAATACTGTACTCCTCATTTAGCAACCATTCACAATTATAACAGGGATGACAAAGTGACTTTGTGACCAAACCTTGCAGGTCTACAAAGCAAAGAAAAGCTGAAGTAAGATCTTAGCAGAATTGTTTCACTTAGCAAGCAGTAAGCAACCAGTTCAGTTATTGACTGAGTTGCCACTCCCAATTGTGGTTGCTAAGTGAGGACATTCAATAAGGATAACTTTCATTACTATGGGAGTCAGTAAAACCATCTCCTTGGGGACAATATTACAGCAAAACAAAATTATGCTACAATAAGTTTGAACCCAAACGCACTTCAGTCCTTTTGAGGTGCACAAACCTTCATTCCATTTCCATTCTGGAAGCATTTTATCCCTCAGCTAAGAAAACTGAAGAAGCTGAATAATAAGCAACTTTTATTCAATACAATCATTTTAAAAGGAATGGAAGCATGAAATCTGATCTTGGAAGAAATAGTTCAAAACAGAAGCTAAAACCGCAGTGAGTTTGCTTTTCTTTCTTGAAATCATTCTGGAAGCTGCTCGTATCTTTTGGGGTCACCTACTCCCTCTGAGAGGGTGACTTCATTTCAAAATTAAAAGATAGACTTCAACCATAAATCAAGTTTTCTTTCTGTCTTCCTCATGCGTGCATGGACGTACACTTGTTTTTATGATAGATTCTGGTCACGCAATATAAAACACATGCATTAAATAAAAAAAATAAACCACACAGTTGGCTTCGGATTTTATTTTAACGGACTGATGGAGGCAGTTTGCCATTTAAAACTTATAAAACTGGATTTCATTTCTTCACTCCAGGATGACTTTTTGAAACCTAGGAAATAATGATCTTTGCACCCTTAGTCAAAGAATGAATGAACTGTTAAATTATTGAGCTCCATGTAAATCTCCTGCTGCATATTTTGAGATTCTTCCTTTTTACAAGCATAGATCTGGGTACTATTGAGAGATAGGCAATGGTCTGGATTAACTAGTTGAGGGAGGATTGATAGGCAAGAGACAGCCACCTAAAAGTCAAAACCCAGGCCTTCTCCAGATGCATTGATTTGGAGATGATGACTTCAGTTCACAATATCTGGAACGATTCCAAGGAAGAAAAAAATCCTTTGGAATCCTAAATAAATTCAAGGAAAGAGGTAACATGTTCTGAGAAACAGTTGATGCTATGTGAACCTTCAGTTCCTCAACTATTTTTTTCCAGACTTCATCCCTTCGCTAAAAAAATAATAAAGCGAAGGTCAGTTGGCTGGAAATACATTTAGAATGACCTGGTTGTGATTTCTATTGCTTTTGCAGAGAGGTTCCTCTAATACTTTAGATAGAAATATAATTTGCCAAGCAACCTTTTCAAAACTATTTTTTAAAACTTTATACTTTGTACTTTTCCACTGCAGCTATCCCTTTATATTTATATAACTGCACTCTTCTATATTCTCTTTTTAGAAACACACAAAACACTCTTATTAAGCATTGTGAAATATTGTATTATTTATGTCAATGATAATTGGGCTCACTAATACTGAGGCATGTGGAGACATTACTGCTTGCCTGCAAGGGGGTGGGTGGGTGAGTTACATGAACAATGATTTGGTTAGTATTCTTCCTCCTCCTCCTCCATGTATAGATCATGCTTTAAACTGCCAGGGTGAAGTCGTCTTCTTGGCTTTGTCTTGGCTAAAAATAAGTCATTATTGATATATGTTTTAGAAGTAGCCAGATGCTGGACTCTGTATCGCTCCACATTCACACAGTGTGCTATTATCTGCTAAGAGCCTCCACTTGTGCATATTGGTTTAGACACTCCAACCCTCAACCTATTCAGGGAAATATTGTAGATCAATATTTCAAACCACAATCAGGCTACGGCAACGTTGTTTGTCGGGTAATCCTTCTCACACTAAACCAAACCTGGGAACACCAAGGAATGAATTCACCAAAAAGGTCTTTGTCAAGGCCAGCTTTAACCATCATCTCAATAAATATTGAGAGATTTGATTAATATAATGGGAGCTTACAAATTGTACAAAGCCACAAAC